GTAGATCGCTTCGTTCAACATGATCTCACAAGTCTCTTCATCAAAGGATACTTTTGCACCTCCTTCTCTTGCCTTGGCGGATGCAGCAATCCCTTCATCTTCGGATTCGTCCATGAAGAGTTCACCGTCAATGGCTGGGGCTCCAGGCTTCGCCTTAGGCTTCGGTTTGGGTTTTGCCTTGGGCTTTGGCCTATCGTCTCCTGAGTCAGCTGGTGCAGATATCCCTTTCTTAGGAGAGGTTTTTGGGTCATGGTAGAACTTGCAATCCTTCCCTTTGTCACAAGTTCCTCGAATCCACATCCAACATACTGGCTTGTCATTCTTTCCGACAGAAGATCCTCTGGATGGTGACCTGGGTTTCTTGTGACTGAATGGGCAATCTTTCCCCATAGTGCAGTTACCTTTCACGAAGAATTTGCATGGTATCTTCTTCTTGTCTGTACTCGGACTTCGGCTGCGATCCTTTCCATCACCTTTACCTTTCCCCTTTCCCTTTTTGTTCTTGTCTTCAGGATGCTTCTTGGGATTGGGTTTCGGCTTCACTGCAGCAGCGTCTTCTGAGACAACCTGTTCTTGTTGCCCTTTTGGTTTCTTCTTCGGATCAGCTGGTGCAGCTTTCAGTTTTGGAGCAGGTCCGCCTGGTTTGAGATTCTGAAAGATATTGGCCACATTCTTCACTGCCTTCTCCTTTTCCAGGATCATCCTGTCTTCAGTTTGCCGTTCGATGTGCCTTCTGATCATATCACGTAGATGTTTGTATGTCTTCTTGGCATCATCGTCGTTCATGCTATTGTAGGCGCTGATGTCGTATGCCATGAGGTTTGAGTTCCTGATCTTTCTCCATAGGAGATCCCGAAGAGTTTCGTCGCTCGGGACGTCAACGGGCTTCATTCCTGCCAGAATCTCATCCCAAGTGTGGAAGAACAACGATAAGTTCTTGTCTCCTTGATATTCTAGTTGGTAGAGGTGCATTGAAGTATATAAGACTTCCACATTTGATGTTGTCTTGAAATTCATAAGGATCAGGGCTAGGACCTCTCTTCCCTTTATGAGGCTTGATGTTCTCCCTTTTGCATTGATCCTCGTCCTCAACTTCATAGCTACACCTGAACCATCATCTTTCGCATCCATGACGACCTTGGTAAGAGCTAGGCCGAGTTTGGCATCGATTGAATGGAATCTTTAACCATCATCTTTCGCATCCATGACGACCTTGGTAAGAGCTAGGCCGAGTTTGGCATCGATTGAATGGAATCTTTGGTCTCCTGAGTCGACAAACTTGTCCGGATCAGGATCGTCCATGGCTTCTTTGATCCAGTCGATCCAGGGCTCTTGATCTGAATCATTGGCCGCAATGATGATCGATTGAATGAGATTTGCCTTCCATAGTCCAAGATCATTGATCCTGGGCCATGACGGAACGTTTATCTTTGATTCTTCCTTCCTCGATACTTTCATGATTGTAGAGGTTGCCGGTGTAAGATGAGATGAAGAGGATGCTTCTGCTTCTGAAATCTTGTCCCTCAATGATTTGTTCGTCTCGGATAGCTCAATTGATTTCTCCCTTTCCTCGGCGTACTCGTTGTGGGTTTCGGCATACCATTCATACATCTCATCTCGGCTCTCTGTCATTTCATTGTACCCGTCCTTGTAGTGCTTCGCCTCCTCTTTTGCGTTCCGAATCTCATCTTCCTCGGACGCGTGGGTTGGTAACCCGCGGTCTCTGGAACTAGGACGCTTGCTGTACCGAGAGACTATGGGTGCCATTCGTGCTTCTGCTTTTAATTTCGCATTTTCCATAATGACATTCTTTGTCTCCTTCTGGCTTTCCAATAGTGCATTCTCCAGTTCTCTGATCTTCTGTTGAATTTCAGCACCATCATCGCCGAACATAGGAGCTCTCATCATATTCTCTCTTTTCAGCTGTGCGTTGGCTTCGGATAGAGCGAGGTTGACGTCTTTCAATTGTTGTCGTTCACGGATGGAACTTTCTAGGACTTCGTTGTTGAATATTTCTCCTTTTGCGATAACCTCCTTTGCGACGTTTGCTTCGTATTCATGGTGGCTCGCCTTCATTTCTGCCATTTCTTTAGCAGAGACTTCAGTCTGGCATACAAACATCTCCATCCTCATGCCCACTTCCATCTCTCCTATCTCCGCTCTCGCGTTGAGTTCAGCTCCACGTGCCATAGCTAGTTGACCTCGTAGATGATCAATAACCATAGCTTCCTGATTGCTCTGATCTTGAGATGAGTGAACACTGTGTTGAAGACGTCTTTCCCTGACCTCACTGTTCCATTGTTCTTCTCTCTGGTGTTGGATCACCTCGTGCATGTTGACATTCTCATCCTGTAGCGCAATCATTCTAGCTTGTATCTGGTCAGCTATTCCGACGAAGGCTATGTTCTCATCCTGAATGGCTTTTGATCTTCTATTGATCGCCAATGAAGATTCATTCTGTTCTTGGATGTGTCCAATTGCTGCTTGAAGCTCTTGGGACATTCTGTCCTTCGTTGCTTTCACAGATTCAAGCTCTGAATGTTCTTGATGAGTTTCTTGTGCAAGCTCTTGATATCTCATGTAGATATGTTCAGCTGTCGATTCCGCCAAGCGTAGCTTGTGTTCGAGCTCTTCAATTCTTATTGTCGCTCCTTCATCTTCCTGTGTCATCTCTTGTAGATGTTCCTGCATCTTCCTGTTGTAGTCAGACATTTGCCTGAACTCCACTTCAGCCTCGTGGTGTAGTCGTGAGTATCCGGCTTGGATGCATTCATATTCTTCATGAAGAAAATTGTATGCGTTTCTCGCCGATCTCAATTCTTCACCCAGCTGAATCTCTCTTCTTTGCTCTTTTGTTCCTCTATCATCGTCACGTCTCTTCTCTATACTCCTTCTTGGGGATCTCGCGGTAGACGTTATAGGCGATGTAGATCTTGTTGTAGCTCTCATCGATCTTCTTGGTCCTACGGGTGCAAGATCGGTCAGATTCCGAGCCGGTGGCACGGATCTTTCCGAGATTTGTGATCCAGTAGGCATAGTGATAACGTCAGCATTTGCTGATGAATCAGTACCCATTGTAGAGTCTGGTGACGAAATGGTGTTGGGACCACCAGGAGCAGCGAATGAATAGGGTTCGCTTCCATTTCCTCCTGAGCTTGACATTGCAGGTTTCTGTAATGACTAGTCTTGTTCTTGGTCTCGTGTAGCTCGTACGGCTATAAAGAGCGCGTACGGCTGATAACCTGCGAGTGGATCTTAATCAGCGAAGTTTGAAGCTATCACTGACGGTCCATAAGCGGCATAGCGTCGGAACGGAAACCGCACCTTTTCTAGTCGCTTGATCCTTGAGCCAAAGTACATATGGTACATATATATGTACAAGTTGCACTGTACGTGTCGCTGCACTTCCATTCGCACTTTCCCACACCAGCTTCCTCACAGAGACTCAGCGTGCCTGGCCCCGCCAAATGATGGAACAACACGTTACACAACAAACCATCCCATCTTCCCCCCAGCAAACTCCCAGAGCTCTCTCAGTTACAGCCCCAAACAATGGAACAACAACAATGGGAAAACGTCCTGAAGGACCAACCGACACGTCCGGTTGCAGTCATGTGTTGCACGCGCTGTAGGGCCTTTTGGCAGTCTGTCTTTGGGCCGCGTGTGCTTTGCAAACACCAACGCAACAATGTTCACCAACCACCAAACACACTTCAATGATTGAATACATGTGAATAATGCCATGAGGTGATGTGGCGGCGTTCTTGCAGCGCTTGGTTGTATTGCTTTTGGAATGCGAGCAGCGTAGTGAGCCCCCCGGTGTTAACAATCCAACATAGATAATTTCGCATTAACAGAACAGGACAACAATCCTTAGATCCTTCCTTCATTTTCCTACTCTTGTTGGATGCGGAACTCCTGTGTCTCAAGCCAGCGACTAGATGGCTGATTGACGTTCTGGCACTGCCCAAAAACGAACAAAATCGAGGACATCGCTTCAGCAACGACCTCTTCAAAGGTTCTTCTGACTCTGACCTCTGACTCTTCAAAGGTTCTTCACTAACGACATGCCTTCCTCTGACCTCGAGCACACAACAACAAACACTTCTTTCAAGGATTCGGCCCCAAAAGCAGGAACGCATCATGTGCACTTCTTGCACGACAGCACCATCCCATTGAAGGATGATGGAAGGCTGCGGGCGGGCAGCTCAAACCAGACACTTTGCGCCAGCTTGCTGTAGCTGAAATGTAGGATTCAGCTACAGCAGCCATTGCCTTCCCCTTGCGGGTGCACAAACAACACCGTCGGCTGTACAAAATGGAGATACCTACGCCTCAACAAGGGAGGAAACAGGTGAAATGGTCCGCTATTTCAGCATCAGGTATTGTATTTTTTGGAGGGAGGTTCTTGACCACCGACAGTGTCCTTCTATGTCCTTCTCAAGATTCTCCACCTTCTCTGCAAGACTTTTCTTCGCAGCTTTTCCGGCCTGGTTGATAGTTGACGTCATGCCATTCTCAAAAGCTTGGTGGTCACCATTGTCACACACAACCCAACTCAACATGGTTTGAGAGCAGGGGTCCCCGAATGGATAGTACCAGCCCTGCCTCAACCTCAGCCTGGCAACATACCAGCAGCGCCCTGCAGTGACACCGGTAGCCACATCTGGCAGTGGCACCCCGCAGCGGCAAGCTCCAAAGCGTACATGGCCACACATCTGGCAGCAGCACCCTGCAGCGTCACCAGCACCCAGGTTCCAAAGCGCACACAGGCACCTCTTCCTACACTTGGAAGTAAGAAGCTCAATAGTTCACGCTATCTGGTGGAAAACGTATTTCTGAAGCTTCTTGTGTAATTAACGGTTTCAATTTTGTATTGTGTAACTGTGTAACGTGTTTTTCATCGACGTCCATACAAAACCCTGTCGGATCCTGTCAGGCTTCTCAACTGATAGACACCGCAACCACCCTAATGGCCCCTGGCCCCTCTCGGGAGATGCCTCCTCCAAGGACACCTCCTCCATCACTAACACGGCCTCCGGGTCTAAGGTATCCGCTTGCGCCTGAAAAGAAGAACCATCATCGCCGCCGGGGCGGTGGGGGAGTTTATCATGCCATCCTTGGATCGATGTCACAAGTTCTCAACAAATCTCCTATACAGAGGTCAGTTGGACTTCAAAAAATAATAACAACATCAATGTACCAATACAAGAACCCAATGGAATGGATCCGATGTTTTCAGGACCGGCCCAAAGCTGACTGCGTTGAACATCTTTCTCCCCTCCGGCCCTCAGACTTGCCCAATGCGGGTCCCTCTCTTGCCGTTCCCAAAGCCGGATCGTCGAAAATCGATATCAGGTGAGAGGACGTTCCGAAGATCGGTGGATCAGAAGCTAGACATGACGGCTCAGGGGGATTTGATCATCTCTGTGCAAAAGGGCAAGAAACATGTTTAAACAAATAACCATGCACTGTACCAGGACCTTCAGTACGTGACCTCTTTGGAGTCTCTGTTTGTGACCTCTTTAGGGACGATTCGTGACCTCAGCCACTAGGATCTCAAGGACGGTCACTTTGAAGGTCTGAAGGTCCTGGTATATCACTGTGTAGTTGCTGAGTTACTGAGTCCTTTGGTTTGATGTTGCGCAGTCGCGATGAAGGTAACATTTACGTGTTGAGGTCATGCAGGTCATACCCGTCCTGAAAGCACAAATACTCGTGAACAACCCGCCCCTCTAGGTAGAGGCCCAGCCTTGGCCAGTATGGACTCGGAGTGTTTCTGTCCAGGAATTCTTCCATCAACAGCCCAGAAAACTCCATGGATTTCGAACGATTTCATGGTATTTTGTAGGACTTGGTTAACACCTTTGCCTGTAGCATGTTTTTTTCACTAGCATGGTGCCCACTGCCTTGGCCGGAGAAGTTTTTGGCTCAAGATGCCGGCGATTCTCAGTGCTTCAGGGCGGGTGATTCAACACCACCTACTGCTCCCTAGTGATCGCACCTGGGATGCTGAACTCCAAGCACGTGAAGGTCTAAACGTCCGAATTCCAAACTAACACCATCAAAAAAGCAGGACACACAAGTCATGTCACTCTCTCATTCCGTTGGACCGTTGGACTGTTGGACCCACAAAAAAGCATGGCATCGCCATTGCCATCCATCTGCCGCCTAGCGATGGATGCCTTTTGCCGCGTATCGGAGTCGGCGCAAACCACACATACAGCACATTGACATATACATATTTGTGAGACAAAGCGTGGGGTGCCAGGAACTCACCACTGCTAGGTGGACCCATGTGCAGTGTAATTCTCATGCGGTCCACCGGTCAAAGAACACCGGTGCAAAGGTCGTGTGCCTTGAGCTTTTCTTCGCTCGCTTCGTAGGAGAGCATCGTCAAGACCAGCCAAAGGCCCCAAGCCCTGTCGAGAACGAACAGAACAAAACGTAGCGGGAGGGGATCCAAATGAAGTCAGCTTGAAATAACAGGTCAGTTTGACCTCTTTAAGTGGAGTTGCCTCTGTCCCCCCTTGTACCAAAACAGGACATACCGGAGCTTTGTACCTGGGTCGACCTGAGTCGGACCTGTGATCCAAATCAACGGCACAGTACTGTACTTATTTTGCACCTCTTGGCTTTACCATGCTTTACCTCAAGAAACCCACTTGGCTCAGTGAGTCTTCAGGCCGAGAGTTTTTCGAAAAACACATGGTTGGGGCCGAATCTGAATGGTGTGACACGATGTCACAAATGAACGCTGCAAATGGCATCTGTGGCATTCTTATGATAGTCAACAACTTGGTTGGTTGATCTGAAATGCTCACAAAGGGATACTACAGCTGCATTAAGGGAATATTCAGACTATTCATCCCTACTCAACCGGGAACATATCATGCCCTCATATACCCTCTAGACTCTAGACTCTATATGAATGAAAGACCCAAAGGGGCCCAAAGAACCCAAAACGACCCAAAGTTAGAGTTCTTGTGCTATAGATCCTGGATCGATGTTGCTTTTCCTCCACACCTCCAGCCTCCAGCCTCCCCAACCGGTCCAGTTTAGTCACCGGTCCAGTCATCACGATCGACCTGGCGGTGCTGGGCCGGGCCTGGAATAATGATCCCCTGGCTTTTCACACCAAGAGAGGATCTGCTGCAGGTAGCCCGTGCGGAACATGTACCTGGGAGTGACTGTTTTCGGATCGGCTGATTGCAACCTGGTGGGAAGCCCAGTCATGCGGTGGAACGCGAAGTCTGGTGCACAGAGCCCGGTGAAGCGGAACCCGGGCGACGCGAGCTGCGATCCACAGTCGCCGTGAGACGCACGAACAAGCAGGATTGGGTTGTCACTGGAACCTCCGGATCGCCAGTGTCAGCCTGCTCCCCAACCCCCTGAGCTTTGTGAAACCCAAAAACGCCCAGACTCGCAAGAAAGGAACATCTTGCAACCAGTTGGGGAGCTCGACGATTCAGGTAGCCCACAGAAACAATGAAGACAAGGAGCTCTGTGGAAAAGAATTGTGTCTTTGTAGAGATAAAAGAGAGGTCAGTTTGATACCATATACATCCATGTATACCTGTTGGTAGTACACTTGGGAGTGTCCCCTCTATTATTCCGCCAATCAAAAACATGTTGGGTGACAAAGGACCCCGTTCCACTGGCAAAGCGAATCCCAACAGAACTTGGCAGCCATCTATATATCCTGCGCAGAATTCAGTTCAGTAGCACTATGCCGCTATCCAATAAGAAAAAAACACGTATGAACAATATGTTTTGTTTCTTCCAAAAAAGCCAACACGTGCTAAAGTGAGGTTGATTTAAACAATTTTAAACCAAAAATTCTCTGAACCGCTGTGGATGCTCGTTGATATTCGTTCACCACGGAAGGGAATCAAATCCTTCACGTCTCGTTCACTTCATTGCAAACCAAGCGGTCGGCTGTGAGCCATGGCACCGCACCACACCGACCAAACCATGGCGAGGCTCGACCAAAACCATGGAATTTGTGAACCAGAGTGCCCCGGTTTTGACCTGTCAATTGCTTTTCCAGGAGATTTCTTTCTGGATTCAAAGCGCGATGGCTTCGTAGGGTCCCCCCAAAAAAGAACTCTTTACAGAATCGTGACGGCTGGACGAATTGACCCAGTTTACAGCATACACCAATCTTCTGATCTTTCTTCGTAAAGGACAAAGGTAGTCCCCGTGGTCTTTTGATCCTTCATTTGCTCATTAAAAAGGACTAGCGACCCCGTTTTATGAACTTTGTCAAGACCACCTCGGAGGTATACCCTTTAAACGTGGGGAGCAGCATGCGTGTTGGAGGGTGCCAACATCAAACCCTTCTGTCCAACCGTACCAAGTGGTTTCCAAATCCAAGCAATTCAAACTCCTTCCTAACCTTAGATAAATCATGCACCACCAAGTGCATGTCACACTGTCACAACAAATCAAATTAAGTTAACCAAAGCATTATGCCTATCCAATTAGGAAGAGTTTTCTCAATCAACATGTCAACCAATGTCAACTGGCGAAATCGCCACCTGCCCTGCCGTTCTCTGCCCAAGGCACTTCGAGGCGAAGCTACTGGCGCGTGGCGCGGCCCCCAAACGTAGCGTCTGCAGCACGGGTCCCACGGCCGGTGCCGACGGGTGAGAATTCAGCCATTCAGCTGCAGGACGAGTGATGTTGATGTCGACCATGTGGCGCCACGTGGAGACCAAAATGGATGAACCCCCACGCCATTTTTGCTGTATAAGAATATGTAGGGACTCCAATCACCTTCTGAGAAGGTACTTGGATCCCTAGGGAATATGCATCATGATCCAACCAATTGTTATCCAACCTGTTCATTGGATGATTGGAGTATCCAACATCATGCATCAAAAAAGGGATACTCCTGCAAATACCTCCCTTACACCCTGGGTAGCGGCTGGGTAGTGGCTGGGTTGGTCGATGTCTCTTCTTCCAGCAGGTCGGTTCCGGCTGGTGCGGATCTTCATCCAACATGACTCACCCCTTGATGTCTTGGGCATCACGCCGGAAGGAACGATTCGCCAAACCGCCAGCGACGACACCGGACACCGCGGTGTCCGGTGTCGTCGCTGGCAGTTTGGTATGGAATTTCTTGTCTTATTCATCACAAACACAGAATGCATAGGTATATTATTGACAAATATTTCATGTTTTGTATCAAAAATAACTGAAAGATCTCTTGAACATCTCTAATTACCATGTTTCTGCCTTTTCCAATCTTTCAGACGATGATTCTTCTCAAGTAACAGTTAACCCCACTTCCGCACCCCACCCTTCTCCGGGCGAAACGACTGGCCCCCCCCCCCTTTCGACTCCATGCGCGGGAGGGAGGTTCGAGCAAATAGAGAAACAATTATTCCACAAAAAAGGAGACAAGCACGCAAGAAAAGAAACATACCTCAGAACTATACAACAATTCTATGTGATTGTTCATGATTTCTTCATGTTTCGCCCATTTCCTTTCTCCCTTCCATTTTCTCCTCTTGTCTCGTCTTCTCACTCGTCACGACTCCGTCACTTTTTCGTCACTCGACACTGACAGCCTCGCCTCCGCCAGCTTGGGACAATCCAGCTTGCGCGCCAACATCCGAGCCTGATGGGGTCGCTGGTCGCTGGTCGCAGCGGATGGGCGGATTCTTTCTGTACTATCTGGGCGACCTGCACACACCCCTGGTGTGCGCCACGGCCGGAGAAGATTCGGGTCTGGACGGCATGGCAAGGCTCGCTGTTGCCAATGGTCAAGGGTTGGTTGGTTCATTTGTTGGTTCCAATCAAGTAAGTATAGTGCAAGTGAACGGAATGGAACTCCTCCTCTGCCAACCAAATTTCTTCAAGTACACCGGGCCACGGTTCCTCTTCTTGGAGTCAATCACCTTGCAGAGCCTTTACACCACCTGATAATACCACATATAGACATGGGTCACATAGGCCAAACATTCTACATTTGATTGGGTGCCACTGGGTGCCACTTCAAGTCTCTCAAGTCTCTCGCTGACCACGTGCACGACGAAAATGACCACGAGATCGCTCGGGCGCCCGGACGACCAACGCGCTGAAGTGCACGTTGCAGGTGGGGATCGAAAGGACGTGGCACAGCACCGCCACCATCCTCGGGCCGAAAGCGAGCGTCCGCGTCGCGCTTTCACACGCGCTGAACACGCTTCGCGAAGTGGGCACCGGGATGGGAAAAGAAAGGTTCGGTTTTAAAAAGGACAACAACAAATCAGGTGGTTTTTGGTTGAGTCATTGGGACTTGAACCCATGTTGTTTGGAAGTTTCCGAGATTTTTCAGAAAGTTCTTTGCCACAAAATTGGTATGCACGTGGGGTCTTCGCCCTTGGCCTAGCATTGGGTTTGGTCGTCGATTTCTCCTCTCTTTGTGAGTCTTGGTCTGGGGGCTTTGCTGTTCTTCCAATACCAACCCCTATACAAGCCATAGTCAAAAAATCATGTATGGGACTCTCTTGGTGAGGCTCCAAACAGCTTTGAAGTAAGCCTCCTACTTCATATATATATATATATCACCAGATTGAGTCAAAATAACTCACACATCTTGCAAATGTTTGACCATCCACCATATGGCAGCAATACCGAGCACCCCAAAAAATTGTGGCTATTTGCAAATTGACTCTTCCAAGGCTCAGCGTGCTTGCTGGAAAAACATAAGCTATATAAGAGATGTGTGCGTCATGTATTCCAAACGTGTCCAAGCCCTGCAAACATTGAGTCAGTCTGACTCAGCTTAGCTTAGGCCGGTCTCGGCATCGTTGCATGATGCATGCTGTGAGCTAGCTGGATCAGTTCTCCAAAATGCCACATGCACCATTGAAATTCACACATCTCTATATATATGATATATATTTATTATGTGCGGTTTATATTACATCATAATATACTATTATCATACAGATATATATATATATATTTCATAACATATTATGCTTGCTTGATATGAAACCACCCTTTATTCCGATAGCCCTTAAAAGACGTTCTGAGACGTCGTGGGAGGTTGGACGATTGGTGGATGTCCCATTGTTGATCAATTGAAGATAACATTTTATGATAAGCTGAAATCTGAATCCCAATGATAGTCCTACACTCCCACTATTTCCAACTTAGACCTGGTATAGGATCTCAAGCATTTGAAACTCCCCAAGAGTGGTGAGGTCATTCCCTTGACCCGAATGAAAAGGCATGAGCCAAAAGAGGTCCAAGACTCGTTCGCGCAGAAGACATCATTGTTGCCCCCTCAACCATGGCCAGATGAAATGCCCCATATACCGCCATGTATACGATGTTTTTTGGACGTTTTTTTTCATGCCTTCGCAAGGCAGTGATGTTTTTTTGATGACATAACCTCCTCCCAAAGGTTGACCCATTGTCATCCCTCGCTTTCCAAGAGTCCAACCTTAAGGGGTATCACCCAGACACAGGCCCTGAGCACCGCTACCCCCTGATCCCTGAAGTTTCAGCCCTCACTTCAGCCACCGCTCGCGATCGCTAGCGATCGCTCGCGATCAACCGCACGAGCAATCGACCGAAACGTCCACGTTCGATGGTTTTCGCTTCGAAAGCTAGGCGTAGGCACAAGCGTAGAAGATGTCGCAGCTCACGCACCTTTGGATCGTTCGAACGCGAAGTGATGGATCAGCGAGGTTCGTGTGGGTTTGGCACAGCACCCGGGTTGCCTGGTGGACCCTAGTAAGTTGACCCATCAATCTCCAGTATACGTGGTCTATTTCCGTTCATGTTCGGTCCAAACCGCTTGGACCCCCAGACGTCAAGACGTCCAGACGTCCAGGTACAGGATGGGAAACCGGTCCCAAGGCGCCATCCGAGGTTGGAAGCGTTGGAGCCGATCAATTCTACATGGAAACTGATGTGTTCCACATGGAGCTTGGTTTAAAGATGTTGAAAAATACAAACTCTACTTCACTTTCCCTGCTTGGTCAACCTTAAATGATAGCAACCGTCCGCAGCCACCAGTGATATCGGAAGGTGATCGACAGCCTGACGGTCCGCCTTAGAAACGGGGTGTCTAGTTGAACTGCCGAGAAACGGCCAAGGCTGAGGTCCTCAGGTAATACGTCACTGCCCTCGTGCATGTCAAGCTTGGATTCGCCATGGTCAAAGAGGTGCCGGCGTTGCAAAACATCCTTTTCCCTTGGACCCTCAGTCGTACCTCCTCAGGTTTGGTATGACTGGACCCTCCTGGTACCCACCTCAGTCCCACCGAAACAAAGGTACGACTGGAGCCCAAACGGATTTATGTAAGGCCAAGAACTGAAGCAACTGCCAAAGGTGCGAAGCTTTCTGGCCGGACCTGCTCCCAAGTTGGGTCGGGTGCAGCGAATCCCTGTCCCAAGTTGACACTGTTCCCACCATTCCCCGCGACGGACATCAGTAGATATCAGAATAATTCAGAATATAAAGCAATGACTTGAACCTGTCAGTTGTTTTCCTTCACTCCCAACATCAAGAGCGGAAAAAAGACAAGCCAACCAGTAACAACATGTAACAACCACATCTTCGTTTCACTCCTCGTCTTCTTCCACGCCTTCGCCTCATGCCGAAACTCGCACTCCATCCCCAAGCCCATGCCGGACCGTCCCCCTGTCCGGCGACGAGCGTTACACGTCCATGATCGGCCCCAGGGGTTCCACACATCCCAAAAGCCAAAGGTTCGGTGAATCGCTTCGTTGGCCAACCTCGAATCGAGCATCGAGGATCGAGCAGAAGTACGCGTGTCTCGAACACGCAAAGGACGCAGGACGCAGAGAAGAAGGCAGTCTCGGGTGGGGGGGGGGGAGGGAGATCGGTGGTTGTGGAGGGTGGGAGCCGGAGCCGTTTTTGGGTTGGGGAGCGAAGCAAAAGCAGAATCAGAAGCAACATAAAAATATATACACACAACAACAGACGAGTACCATGAAACTATGTAAGTCTAAGTATGGACATCCCAAATGCTCGAAAGCATCGGTGAATCCAGAAAGAAGGTGGCTTGACATAAGGTTTCACGTTCATTGACCTTCTGAGTTTGAAAAAGGGTCTGCTGAGAAAGGGTCTGCTGAGAAACGGTCCAAGCTCACCTCGCACTGCCCATTGGGAGATTGTCGTACCGGGTTTGAACCATTCAGACTATTCTTCTCACAGTGGAGTCTTCTTCGAATGTGTCTGATCATGCTTTAAGTCAGAGTCATGGTTTGGGGGAAAGAAAGCATCATGACATCGTCTTGTACGCAACCCCGATCCACGTGTCGTATCACTGATTGCCCTCACTCGGCAAGAACACACCTTACGCCCTCCAGTGAGGAGAAACTCAAGAGTTTAGGGTCTTCTGTTGCAGGGCTAAGTGATGTAAACATGTCTTATATTGTTTTTAAACCTTAAATGTGTGTTATTGTTGACTTGGCCATGTTTTGAACATCCGGTTCAAACGCTTCGTTTCATAACGATGTCCAAAGGGTTGTGATGCGACATATGATATGTCGCACCCTGGATCTCCAGGGCAGTCCCCCAAACAACATGAGCAACAGAAAATGCGTCACACGACTAGACAGGGCCAGCAAGCTCATACCCCTCATGTACAACAATGGACGGGAAAATCATGAGGGGAGGGAATTCTTGGGTTTTTGAGGATGCAAAACCTTTTCTTGTACACTCCGACTTGCTAAAATGCACGTGCAACCCACCTCAACACACCTCGACGAATTGGTTTAAGACAAATCTGTCTGCAGGAAACCCATAGTTTTGGAGCCAAAAACCCTGGTTTACTGTAGATTTTCCCTTAAACCAATTCATTGCACATCCCCTGCAAAACTGCTTCTCCACTACAAACAAAGGGTTGCCCACTTAAAATGTCTGGAGTCGAAAGTGTAGCCAGATTGCAGCTAAGCAGTTGCGCCCCAATGAACATCACGCCACGTGCCCACTCAAGTATCCAGCACCGGCCAGTTTCCCAGGGTGATATGGGCCATGGTCTTTCCGTGAGAAACAATCAGTTTGGGCGGTCTGAGTCATGATCCATAGTATTTCATAATGTTGTATAGTCGCTGGGTATCTTACTCCCAAAATGGAACACAAACACATGCCTTTACTTCGAGGTCTTTGAGCTTTTTTGCTGGTCTTTGACCCAAAAACATGTTAGACCCCTGCTTGGCACCCCTGCTTGGCTCGACTTTCCGCTTGCAGCACCGAAGCAAACAAGCAATGCACCTGCTTCACTTCATCGATCGTCTTCACCGCGGGGATTGACCAGTTGGTGCCGACACCGGACAAAAACGAACCAACAAATGGGACTGCCGTAGGACTGCCGAGAAACGGCCAGGGGTGTTTGACTGGGATGGTGGTTTTGGTGAATGTAGGTATCCCATGCCAGTCCCATGGGACTGGGACACAAGATCACCACCATTCTTCCACGGAGTTCGGGTGGTGATTGGATGGAACAGTCCCATCGGAAAAAGGGGATGTCCATCCAATGTCCTCCGAACATTCTGTAGTCCTGGACACTGGAGCTTGCTCCGCGCGGTTAGACCGTTAGTATCAAACCTTGACTGTTTGGTCAGCGATCACAGCACAACGCTGTCCACCCCAAATCATGTTCTCCACAATGTCCACATCCTGTGGTGAGTTCAGGTTCCTCCTTGCTCCGTCTAGTCCGTTGTCCGCATTTTT